TAATTTTTTTTTTGATTTGCCTTCAGACATGTCCTCGTCACTCGGATGTGATCCTATTTGTTCTCCTCGAGATACGCGCTTGCTTGCTCTTCGTGGCGTTCGGATGTCTCCTGGCGCGGTTACGGGAATGGGTCCGACACCTTCCTTCGACCACCGCTCTAGCAGCCTCCCTCGTCATTTCAATCGAGGAGGATTTGTCTCCAGTCATGCGTAAGCTTCAGTTTGCTTCCCATATAACTGTGAACAAAGGTTGTCTTTGTAGATCTCCGCACCATGGTTTCCCTATACCTCGAGGGCCGATTTCTAGCGGACCGGCGTTGGGATTTGCTCCACCACCCTCGCAGTATATTCCTGACGAGGACGCTCCCATCCAGGTAAATTTTCCGGTTTGTTTCAGTGACATTAAACATTTAAAAGATTTTTTGCTCAAATGACTTTCATTTTTCAATTGCGCCTATATCATAAATATTTACTCTTGAACAAATTTCAGCCGTCCATTGTACCAGATGAAATCACCGGTGATCCAAATTTGGAGGACAGTGTCCGATGTACTCGAAGTGTTAGCGCCGCTTCGCTTGGCAGCGAATTGCCGGTAATTTTGCCGTTTGAATTTTATTTAGCCTCCGCGTAGCGTAGAAAACCTTTGCAGAATACTTCAATGGGATGGCAAAGCAACTTAGACACTGCTGCGAATAGCAATCGAATGTCACCGGTTTCACCATCGGATCTCCCTGATTCTCCAACGCAGTGTGCAAAGATGATGGAAACGAAGGGTATGACAACATTTGCTGAGTTGAAAGGTGTTCATAATGGTTTTAATGTCATTCAGGCGACACCTCCACTCCACTAAGCGTAAAAGTCCGTGGCGGCTCAGGAGTTACGTCGAGCGAACCAAAATCAGGCTTGACGGCCAGTGACACAGCCACCGCGATTGTTGATGACCAACCAACGCCCACATTTCCTGCATTCGTCCTTCCTGCACCTTTGCCACCAGCGAGCTTTCCATCGATAGAGAAGACAGAAGCTGGTGAGACATACATCCTTGTTTTTTTTTTCATTTTAGACATCTTTTGCCTTCTTCTCTGTTTGTTTTAGAACCCTAAACTTTTTCTGTTAAGAGATTGCATGCCAAGATCTCGCCGATGATTTGTACGCAGCTGTCAGTGCCAACTGCGTTGATGGAGCTGACTTGTTGGCTAGATCCATAGAAGCTGAATTACCACAGCCTTCTCCAAGAGTTATTACCCCTAAGCAACAAAGGCGAGTGGAATCTTTTTGAAGTAATGAATAATCGATATTTCTTGTTAATAGGAGAATAGCTGATGATCGACTGCTTGCTGATATGATCGAAGCAGCTCAGCCATCTCCCCGAAGAACGCGACATGGTTTTTCGGATGCGCATCATTCTCCAAATGGTAGGTCTTTGTCTATGTGTCTGTGCGCTCTTATGTCAAATATCTATTATCATTTCAGTGGATGCGGATCGTTTACTTAGTGCTTGCATTGATGCTGCCATGCCACAACCATCTCCATCATTTAAAAGCAATTCAAAAAACGAGAAGGGCGGACACGGTTGTTCTCCGGTGACCCACCGCGTCCGCCCATCTCCGCAAGTCGCAGGTCACCCCGTCAATGTGGAGGACTTTGAAGGATATGCAGAAAGGTGTGTTTTAGTTTTTTTTTTTCAGCGTCTATCAACCACAATCCCATTTCTTATGCTTATTGTCAGATTTGACGGTTTGAGTATGACTTGCAGTTTCATTCTCATAACCAGTTTGAAAATTTTCTTGCAGATGTATGCTAGAGCAGGCTCTTGAGTGTTCTTTTTCTAGACAGTCTTCAGAAAGGTTAGTTTGCACATTTTGAAGTTTGCGAATGTATGTAGTAGACTTTTTTCCAGTTGGTCTGATGAAGATGAAGGACAATTTCTTGACACAACGTTACCAGTGGATTGTTTTGTTGAAGACGATATCACCATTGACTGCTCGATGATTAGATCATCGAGGTTGGTTGTTGTTATAACATAGATATTGACATTTTTTCAGTTCATTTTCAAATTTTTTCAGCTCTCCAATGCGAGCTGGAGCTCATTCATCTTCGACTATGACAGGTTGTTCAAGCTCAACGCAAACAACTCCTTCAAAGGTTAATCAAAGAAGTTCGAAGACCACAGGTACTCACAAAACTCGGCTGCCGAAACCGACCAATAGCCGCACATCTTCCCTCCAGGTGAATTAATTTTTTTGTTTTTGTGAA